CCCATTAAATCAGGTGGCATCCCAGAAGTGGGGTCTCACCTGTCACAGAGGCATCTGGAGGAAATGCAATGGCTTGTGCTATACAGCAGGTTGGACTATATTATCTGGTGGTCCCTTCTGGCCTTAAACTCTATTTTCTTCTGCAGGTAGCTCTTGTATGGACATGTTCATCTCTTGGCATTTCTGCTCTCAACCCAATGGGCAAGAGGGGCTTAATTTTTAATTGATCCTTTTTTTCTAAATGTTAACTATTGGCCACAGTAGCTTTTAGTAAAAGAACAGCCTGAAGAGAGGGCTCTCAGTTCAGACATCTAAGTGAATTCAAGCAACAAGCTATTTGTGTTCATTATGGTCCAGGCTCTAGAGGTATTCAAGGCCTGATTAGATGGAAAGAATGTATAGGGCAATTCGTGCTTGAAGCAAGGGGTGAGACGAGTGGGTCATCAGAGTTCTTCCAAGCTTATCACCTACAGTGATGCCAAGTCAGTCCATGCCGTCCAGTAACCATTTAGGCAGTGAGGATTTAATGGGACAAGGAATAGGTGATTTGGGGCTTTAGATTAGGAAAACTCTTGTAGCAACGTGTCTGGGAACCAAACTGATGCAATTAAAAACCTCAGATGCAAAAAAAAAAAAAGAATTTTTATTATCACCATTATCAACATTTGTCCTTAGCTTAACACTGAATTGTAAATCACTCATCGCATATTGTCTGAATAAAACCTACAGACAGGCAAAAAGTACAGGAGAATCCTCCCTTCACTAGAACTGACTATCCAATGAGATGCGCTGAACACCGTGCGCCAAGAGTTACACCTCACTTCACGTACTACAGCGTTGGTCTGGACAGTACAGTCTGCTGCAAAGGCTTCCAGCCAAGGGAGTCCATACAGCTTGCAAACAATGAAACGTGGGAACACTGGAAAAAGGACCCTCTCTGAGTCACAGAGAAGCGGGATGTCAGCCTTCCAGCTGTTTACAAGTGATCACGTGTACTCTCTCCTCCGCTGCAGTGACATCATGGCTAAGATTTAACTGACTCATGTCAATTACATTTAGGAAAAATACAGAGAGGGAGAGTTGCAAAGACACAAATTGCAAGTAGAGGCCACTGAAAGCCAATAGGAGTGAGGCAGTGGAACCTGGTGGCTGCTTGCTGGTTATGAACAGAGAATTTTGGAGACTTCTGAGACATTTAATGATCCCCAGCAATAATTTAATCCTTAATCCTAGATTAAGGATCAGATTTTGCAGCACTTATTCCCATAGATAATCCTTACTTGACTAATCAATTGGGCCATTTGCATAGCAGCTGCAGCAGGATCAATCCATGAGAGAACATACACACACTAGGGAATGTTGCAGTTGGTTTGCGGCACAGAACATTAAGCAGCTGCCCCAGTACTATCAACGGGATAAACTCCACAGTAGGCTGCCACTGCTGTCACCACCACCGCATCACCCAGCCCTGCTCGGAACAGCTGCACTGGTGCTGAAAAACAGCTGTGTGATATCTCAGAGTAGATGAGGCCCACTGCAAGGATGCTGGCAGTGAGGTCAGCCCTAGGGTGGAAGGCGTGCCTCATGTCACTATTCTGGTCTCATGCCCCAAGCCTGCAGGCTCTGGCTGCAGAGCTAGTCCCCAGGGAAAGGTGTATCCCAGGCCGGTAGGCCCCAGCTGGAGCCATGGTCAGCCCCTACTCTTCCCGCCCATTTGGAATAAGGTTTGGGAACCTAGATCTGGGGATTTGGGGCTGAGGATCTGAGCCCAAAAGCAAATTTCCACAGGGAAAGTGGGGGAGTACAGCAAAAAACAGAGAGAGAGAGACCTCCCCTGTTTCAATCGACTTTAACCCCTTCTCCTTTGCATGGCATTTGAGCCTATGGGATCAGTGCTATATTTGCTAGATGCTCCTATCTCCCATTAATACTGACCCCAATGGCAGTTACAGTGGAAGATCCTGCCATTGATCTGAATACAGAGCTGCCGTGGGGGTGCTGCAGTTAGATCTGGTTCACTCACCAATGGGGCAGTGCATCCCCCTATGCTTTTTAATTTGAAACAGTTTCGCAAGAAGCTGCGTCCATCTTTGATCCCGAGGATGAAGGTGCCCAGCAGCCTTGCATTCTCACCCTGCTTGGGAACGACAGCAGTCCCTGCGCGGAGGCGGCCAGGGTACACATTTTAACTAACTTGCTGGATATTTCTCCCCTGTAGTTTCTTCCCTTGCGGCATTAGAAATCGTCAGTGGCTTCATGGTGGGGCAGGAGCTAGCTAACAAGAACGGCCCTTTCATGTTCTCTGGCCTGGATTCCCCCCCACGTACAATTCACACTGTTTCCATCCTCTAAATATTTCAAAACAAAATTTGGTTTTAGAACAATTCATTGAAACAGAAAAATAAGCAGCTTTGGTAGATCAGAAATGTAACCATCTTTGGGCAATTTTAAAAAGTATTTAGGTGCCTAAAGACACCGATAGGTGCCTAAAATGATGCTATTAGGCACCTATGGGAGTTAAGACACTAGATACCTATCTCACTCTTCAGCAGGGCCGGCTCTGGCTTTTTTGCCGCCCCAAGCAAAAAAAAAAAAACAACCTGCGGCGTGGCCGGAGCGGCAAAGCAGGGGAAAAACAACAACAACAAAACAAAAACAACGGCGCGGCTGGAGTGGCAAACCTGGGCGGGGGGGGGCGGGGGAGCAAGGGAGCAAAAAGCGTGCGGCACAGCTGGAGCCGGGGTGCAGGGGGGACTCCCTGCGCTGCAGACATGCCCCAGCTAGTGGGGGGAGGGGAGGAAGGGAGCGGGGGGAGAGAGAGAAGGGGGGCAGCTAGGGCTTCAGCGGGGCGCTCGCCCCGCGGCCCCGATCGCCGCACTGCCTGCCGGGAGGGCTCAGTGCCATGCCGGTTGGCAGGGAGGGAAGGATGCGGGCTGCCCTGCCGGGCTTGCTACAGATCTGGCACCCGCTGGGGCAGACGGAGCACACAGTCTGCTCCCAGCAGGGTGCTCCCCTCCTCTGCGCTGCCGCCCCCTACAGGGCGGCCAGATCGGCAAACAAAACAAAACAAAACAGGGGCAGTGCCGCCCTAGGATTGGGCGGAATGCTGCCCCAAGCACGAGCTTGCTCCACTGGTGCCTGGAGCTGGTCCTGCTCTTCAGATGCCTAAATGCCTTTAAAAATATGACCTTAGAGTCCTGTGCTGCAGCCTTTACTCAGCTAACAGAGCTTGGCTTCAGTGGGGATGTTGCCTGAGTAAAGACTGCAGGATTGGTCCCTTTGATAGGCTGCTGTTCACTGCATGGTGGGTGGACTTCGTCCCCAGCGCTGGGCTGCCCCTTGAATCCTAGGCAAGGTCCCAGGACCTGGCATACAACAGATAAGCCCTTCTCTCACCAGTGAGCTCCTCTCACAGCCAATACTATGTAAATGCAAAGTCCAGCTCTTTACACTGCAGTTTTGCTTTTAACATTCTAGCTTTGGCTGCATTTCTAGATATGGTAAGTTACAAAGGGATGAAAAGTTGGGTCCTAAACTGTATTTGCTCTGTAGAGTGCTGGCTCCTCTCTGCCTCCTCCTTGGTTTCATTATACTGCATTAAATAAAACGAAAGCTACAAGGAATTCTCTCCTGGATGTTATTTTCCAGGTTAGCCTGTGTATACATTATGTGTAAATACAGACTCTTGCAATAAACCCCTTTCGTGTCTGGTCCAAATTCAGCCACGGTGCAACTGGATGCAACTCTACCTGCTTACCCTCTGGTCTGAATTTGGCCCTTTATCTTTTTAAGTGTAGCTACTATGATGTGTGTATCTCTTGAACAATACAACCATGGTACTTTGCATTTACAACGCTCTTTGCATCTTCCAGACACTGCCCAAACAATAGCCAGTTAATGTTCCACTAGTCGTTGGGGCTCCCAGTGTTATTCTGCCAGGTTCTGCAGTCTACCTAGGCAGCAGCTTGGTGATTTTTAAATCAACATGGGGATTTTTTCATGAAGTACCCGATGGCCTGCAAAATCTGCATGTATTGAGCTTAGAGTCTCTGTTGAGAATTTTATTTGATGCAGTGTATCTTAAATTTAAAGTCAAAACATTCTTAAAAGCCAATAGAGCCTGTTCCTGATACTTTGGAAAGTCATTAAATCAACCCAGCATTATTTAACTTGCTGTGGAACTGTACAGATCATTCGGTCACTAATTTATATATTAGCCCATATTATACTTTACAAAGGTGCATTCTCTCTCTACCTTGGGTGGGATTTTTAATGGACAAATACCATAAATGAACGGGACAACCCCCCCTTCAATGAACAGCTCAATATGCTACTCCGAAAAGTCTCCCTTTAGTTTGCCTGTGGTATTCTACATGAAACAGACAGCTAGAGAGCAGAGTTGGCATAACCCCAGAATGAAAAGCTCTGTGCAGTGGTGGGGGCTGCAGTGGCAGTGGAAAAACAGTCTCATCAAGTTACAAATTCCAAATAGTCCAAGAAATCAGGGAGACAAATATTCATAAAGTTTATACTCAAAGTGTTTTAAAAACTGTAGTATGAAGTCACCTACAGTTGCATTTCATTCTTCATCAAAGATCTTTTGTCAATGAGCAAATTTGTTTACCCAGAGTCTATATTGTAATGAACGTTTCTCACATGGCAATAGGCCAATCTTCATTTTTATTAACCATATATTCTAAATTAATATGGATCTTTTCAGAAGTGATGTATTTAATAATGAAGACAGTTATCTACTGTTAACAATATGTACTACAGTCTGCAAGTCACAATCTGTGCACATTAAATGGAATATATTATTGCTTGTTAGCCTATTTAGACTCTTTATAAAAAGATTTTTATACAGAATACAGGGTTATGACAAAACTAGCCAAGTAGTTTTCATCTTGAAAATACTACATCAATTTCGTCAACAAAGGCTTGGATAGCAGCTGAGACTTTATGAACAGTAACAAATATTTCTAACAATTTAATAACCAGTTTACAGAACGTTCTATAGGACTCTTTCCTGATAATTATTTACATATGGAACATATGACTCAAAAGAATGAGTAAACTTCATACCAAGTTCATAAAACATTTTTGAAAATGCTAAATTATGTCGGTTAAAAATCATACATAATTTTGTCTTTAAAGAAAAATATTTCTCCTGTTGTAAAATATTAATAACAGTGTGTAATAAACTAACCTAAAATGAATTTCATAAAAAGTTGTCTTGCTGTCCACACATTACCAAACATGCTTTGGTCGAGATTCTGCTAACTGCTTCAACATTATAAATAGTTCCTTTATACGAACTTGTGACATTCTGACTCCAGAAAACCTACAATTTTTAAACAGTACCTTGATAAAGGATCCAGTAATTAAGAACATTAAATATATATAGTCACTCGAAGAATTCAGTGATTTTCCTTCAAAAATCCTTTGCCAAGAAGTTTGGATGCATAGGTTGGGCAGGCAGCCCAAAGTTTGCTTAGCCCTGATCCTGCAACTAGATCCACATAGACAAACCCTTATGCTTGGATCCGTGGAGGTGCTAGAAACTGGATCAATGGATTCAACTACATGATCAGCACCTTATTTTGTCTCTATATCATGCCAGCTGGGTCAGGGCAAGGAGAAAGCAATGCCAGGAGATTGGAAAAATCACACTTTGGCCTGAAGAAGCCAGGACTGATCACATAGTCACAACTAGTGTGTTCACACTACAAACAAGGGAAATCTGTACAATGGGTCTCAGTTCCAATATTTTGCTCTCCTTGTTCATGAAATTCCCATCGGGGAAGGTCATTGTGCCCTTGGGGGATAGAACCATCATCACTTCCTTAAAGCAAAGGGATAGATAGCAAAGAAGGTAACATCCAGGGATTGATCCCCCATTCCTTTTCCAATTGAACCTCCCATGAACGTTAAGGGCAGCTTTAGGTAGGGAAGAAATGGAGAATTAGCCCTGGGCTGAGCACACAATAATCTGTTCCCATACCCACCCCTTATCTTTACTCAGATCAAAAACATTATCAATTCCTTTGCTTAAAAACAAAACATAACTAACACCTAGATTTAAGACACAAAACAACTGTTTTGTCTTTCACAAGTGGACCTTTGTTCAGGTTTCAGATGCTAGCCGCTCTAGTCAACTGCTACTTTAACAAACTTAAAGTGACCAGGGCAAAAGTTAGAGCTACCGTATCACATTATCTTAGAGAGACACTGTCAGGTCAAATCTGACCAAAAAGTTTGGTTTTGCAAAAATCAACTTTTCCAAGCGTAAGACCCTGTTGAACTCTCCATCACTTGGAGTCCTTAAATCAAGACAGGATAGCTAGTTACAAGATTTTCTCTATAACTACATGTTATTGAGCTCAATGCAGGAAGGACTGAGTGAAACTGTCCCACTTGAGGCATGCAGGAGGTTTTGCTAGAAAGCTAGAGATGATCATAATGGTTCCCCCTGGCCTTAAGCTCTTTGATTGTGAACTATTAGAAGGGTTTCTGTGATTTGTTTTGTTTTAATCCTAGTGAAAAACATTTTTATTTGCTGTAAATACAATCCTTGAGTGTTTGAAACTCAGACACTGTAGCATTCCCCTTCTGCATGAGAAACAATGAACCTGACTAGTCTATTATCACTATCCAAGCTGTGAGAAATGCAGAAGATAAGCAAAACAGCATAAAATAGATGGTTAACACGGCTTTCAATTGTAATAATTTCTGGTGTTAATAAAATAACACAGAAGAGAAAATATATATTTTTAAAAATAGGGGTTTTAACCTGACAGTGACCTTTTAATGTGGTTAAACACACACAAACAAGACAGTCTATAGATTTGAATAGTCCTATATTTAACTAAACTAATCACATTTGAGCTTGCAGAGTTTTTGGAGGAGGTGGGATCCCAAAATCTGGAATTTGCTATTCACGAAGCTTTCCAACTGCCAGTCCCAAAAGGAGATTTCTTGAGATGCTTTTTGGCATATTTATTCCTCCCACTCCCAATTAAAAAAATTTGGGGAAAACGTTGCATGCCTCTTACAGGACACAGGTAAAAGGTTACTAACTAGTTATACAGGTAGATAGTATCCAAACAAAATACCCATATAAAATTTTCAAAGCAACTGAAGATAAAACCCCTGTCATTCAGTTATCAGGTTTGGAATGTATTTATATTTTCCCATAGTCTTTTTAAAGACATAGTTATTAAAAGATCCAGTGCTACAAACCACTAAATCTACCTAATCTAATCTAGTTCATACACATATTGTACAATATTGCCTAGTAAGTACTACATACCAAGAGGAAAAGGTGTTGACTTGAATTACGGTAAATGTGCTTTTTTTTAAAAAAGCATGCAACAAACTTTCTTTAGCTAATATATAGAAATTGCCTAATACAGTTAGAAAAAATAATTAGACTGAGGCTAGAGACATATTTGTCAAAGGAAATTAAGAAATGTTGGAGCTTTTGTCACTTTAAGACTCTTAAAATTCTCAAGTTTATGTACTCTCCCTCCCCCAAACATTACATCAATTTTTATAAAGCATATTGTTGGGTCCATTATTTTTGCTACTATTCTATAATTATTTCAGAATCATTTTAAATCCCTCAGATAAGATATAACCATAAGCAGCTACATTCTCCATCTTATACAACTTCATGCTTTATCTTACTTATTTGTGGTCTGCATGGAGAAACTGTCAGTGTGTTGCAGTGACAGGTCAGGAATCCGTTGGCTCCTAAACATTACAGGGGACCTCAGGTTCTTAAATCACAGAACAAAATACTCCCTTGCACCTAAAATAGCAAACCACTTTGAGACAGCAGTCAAGTCGTCATTAAAAATTATGAGAAAAACCCCTAGTAGAAAAAGCTTAACTGCCATAAACTCTTTGAGATACTCCAGACTCCTAAAAATGCTCCACAGTTTTGGGGAATGGGTGTCTCCAAGCATAAGATTTTGAATCACCTGAATGATCTAATATATCTAGAGAAATACTCCACTAATCGAGCACATGTGACTGTTTGAGAAAGCTGTTCTCTGCTTAGCAGCTGATAGAATGTACAGTACTTCTCTTTACTGCATTAACCTACAGGATTTGCTCTACAATTAACATCTGATGCACCTTTTTGCTGTTCTTAAGCAACAAAAGATACACGCTGTGACTACTATGTCTGTTAAATTTCTCCAACTGTTCTCCTGTGCCTGTACTTTGGGGAAGGCATCCTTCTCTTGTGGTTCACTTGACAATGCCTGTGTGTTAATGGGATTGTCTTAAGCAACACAACTTTTTTTTTTTTTTTTAAAAGAGAGGAGAGGCATGTGCTCATTAGCACCCCTTCTTGGGTGGCAAACTGAGGTTTCTCTTTGCTACACCCTCCTTCCCTGTAGTAGAATAAAATGGTATTATTTCAGGTCAGTTCACAGCATGGCGTGTTAGCAGAGGAAGGTGGCACTTCACAAGATATGTACCCAGAAAGAAGGAACAGAATGCAGAAGCTAGAAACCACCATGATGGAGGAATGAGCAGCAAAAACTAAGGGAGTTTGTAAATCGTGAAACATCGTATCTGACAATGTGCTAGTAAATCACATCTCAAACTGCAAGTCTGATGTTTGACTCACATTTCCAGTGACCAGAATTGTAGCTAATTAGTTAGCTCGCCTCCTCCATTAGAACTGTCCGGTCTAACCAAAGCGTACTCCACTTGTATTCCCATCGAACATGCTTCAGCAGCAGTGTTAGCCAGTACTGTATTAAAGACACTTGCTGGTAATTTGGCACAGTTTAAAACCATGGCAACAATCGTTTTATAGCTAACACGATTCTTTGATGTGGAATTTTTTCTAAAGACACAGTTGTAGTTCCTTTTTTTTATAATTTGTAAGGAGATAGATCTTATAAAAAACAAAAATCCCGTGAAATGGTCCATTCCTGCTCTTTTCAGATCAGATGTTTGCTTTCCAAACTTTCAGGCATTGTCAAAAAAAAATTCTGTATTTTATGAATTTCTAAAACAAAGTTAAGAAAAATATCTTCCCTGCTCAAAAAAAAAAAATGCTGCAATTTTTTAGGGTTAATACTGATCTGAAACAAGGGTGCATGAATGACAGCCAGAGAAGTGAAACAAGAGGTGTATGTATAATTTCACAACTAGGACTCATGCCCCATGGCACCTGCTACTTGGATGGAGAGGGCATACGGCCCTCCCCCTTGTCTTCTGTCTAAGGTCACTCTTCCAGCTCCTCAAGAACTGATTGAACATGCAATGCACTTGAGGTCAGAGTTCCAGCAAACAAAACCTTGACAGCATATTTAAAAAACAGAAGCAGTTGCCCCCTTCCTGGCTCATTAAGACCTGTCACAGCAGGGTCCCACTGTGCTCTCCAAGGAAAGCTGCGAAGACTGGCGCAGAAGCGGACCTGTAGTGGGATCTACCATCGAGGAGGTAGGGAAAAGCTTGTACCAGCCAATTGCTAAAGTTGACAAATCCAGTTCTTCCAAGAGAACCCTGGCAACTCCCATGAAGTGTTTGCGCTCCATGCGTCCATAGATCCCCCAGACTATCACCTTGGAAATGAGAGGGGGAGGGGGTCACAGTTAGTTCTCAAGTAAAGAGCAGCAGAAGAGTCATACTTTCGTTTTTGAAAAAAATAAAGATTCACACTGAGCCAGATCCAAAGCTCATTCGAGTAAATGCAAAGACTCCCCTGGACTTTTATGGGCTATGGATCAGACATCCAGTTTTTACATCATGGAAAATACAGTCCTAAATCTCCACACCCCATTCAAAATAATAAGTATCAGAGGGGTAGCCGTGTTAGTCTGAATCTGTAAAAAGCAACAGATGCAAGAAGTGAGGTTCTTACCCACGAAAGCTTATGCTCCCAATACTTCTGTTAGTCTTAAAGGTGCCACAGGACCCTCAAATAATAAGAGACTTTAGAAAAAGTGTTGTTGGACTTGTGCTACAAAATCCCTGACTGCTTCTATTAGGCCCCAAGCTTATTTTCTGATATGGTTTTGCAAAGCTTAATATTATTAAAAAAAAAAATCCCAGAAAAAAAAAAAGTAGTGCGCACACAAGTTTGTGTGTATTTTGTCTTGGGTTTAAATATTCTGCAGAGTTTGCAACAAACCCTGCAACACTGGACAGGGATATTAAGTCTCTGCCTCATTTTCCCATCTGTAAAATGAGGATACCAGAACTTCCTTTCTCCAACCCTTGTCTGGTTAGCCCCTGATCCTGCCAGCTGATCTGCACAATCCCTGTTAACAAGAATCTCAGCGAAAAATAATTTTTTAAACATATTGAATTCATTCTCAGAGCTGAATCTTTCAGCCAGAGCTCAATTAACTCCCCTTAGTAACAGTGAGACGAGACAGGAGGTCTGCAAATCAAGCGTGGATCTAGAGGAACAATCTGGCCTCATATATTCCATTTTTCTTTTAGCTTTGCATTAGCCTGAAGCTTGACATACGAACGAGACCAGATGCTCATTTCTCCTTCAAACTGTTTGAGTCATTTAAGCCTTTTTTAGGAGTGGAAGAATCAGGGGGGAAGTCTAGTATTTTAGACGTGTTTGGATCTGCTAAAATAAGGGCTAGATTCTGATACACTTACTCACATTGAGCAGTACCAGGACTACTCCGATAGGACTCAGTGGAATGACTCCTGGAGTAAGATACTATACAATGCAAGGAAGGGTGACAGATAAAGTAATAAGTGACCGTTTTAAAAGTACAAATATTCTAGGCACTTAGTAAGCTCCCTGAGAAGTCTCTCCTGTGCAAGCATCCTGGACGTGAATCGGATATTCATGCAAGTTTCATCACATTGTAATTCAGGGGGCAGTATACTTGTTTATATCAATATTTAAGTATTTTAAGTTCTCTTTTGTGCAAGCATTACAATGGAAATTGAATAGACTGAATGTCACAGAAGAGGCCTGCTGAGAGAGAGGGCAGAAATGGGTCCACTGAACTGGAAAACCATGGTTAGACGCTAGCTGTCAGAGGACTAAGTAGCAGCACCAAGAGCAAGCTCCATATTTGCTTTTGCATCCAGGTCTTGTGAAACTTAACATATGGTGATGACACATGGTTACTCACCCGGAGAACAGGCCAGAAGCTACAGATTAGCAAGCTAGCTCTGCAATACAAGATGCATGCTTGGAGTTACATGGAGAGAAAGGGGAATAGACAGGGGAAGAAAGTCTCCAAGACTACAAGGGAGATCTAATGAAAAAGGGCTGACAAAGACACAGGCAGCGGTGAAAGCAGAATCACACTTACGACGCAATGGATGGTACAACAGGTGCAGTAAGGGCCATCAGCAGTGAAACAAGCAAGCAAACTGGAAGCTTGTGCACAATCAAAATGGTCCCATTTGGTTCAAGACCGAGGTGATCAGAGACCTCAGAGTGAGGCCTCGGTTCTGCAGAGGAGAGGATGAGCATGATGATGATGATGATGATGACGACGACTGAGGATGAATTGTGCCATCTGGCTAATCCCTAGCAGCTTCCAGCTTCCTCCCATAGTCTCAGTATTAGCAGAATATTGCAGCTTTCTCAGGACAGAGCTGCTGCCTCACCTGTAAGGTATCAGTAACGGGGAGGGGGGAAGATACATGCCAAATTAAGTCAAATTATTATTCAGAGAGCTAGAATTCAGGGGAGCTAGACACTGAAATTAGTGGCTTGGCTGGGGTATAAATTAGCGTAGAATTCAGCCCCTATTTATATTCTCTTTGAATAAGCTACAATGAGACATTAAGTGGCCTTTTTTTTTTTTAAGTTACATAATTCAAGTGGAGTGGATTGGGAATAGTGGAACCACTGAGTTATGTCCAAGGATCCCACCCTGCTAGCTCAGGTATGTCATTCCCTGAGTACTGCTCTCCTGCTAAGAGCCAGCTATCTGGGCTATTCCCCAACTAACAGTGCTGAAAGTGAAACATCTCAGAGGGCATCATTCTGTTGCCTTTGTATAGTTACGTTTTGCTTGCAAATAGTTTTCACTGCCCCAGTCAGCACTGATAGTTGTAGCTGGGCTTGTAGCTGTAGCTAAGGTTACTAAATGACATGTGCCATGGGGTGTCCTGCACAGCCGTCGATCATCAAAAATTACTGACTGGCAAGGTGACTGCTAAGGCCAACATCCATCTTGTCAGACACATGGGGTGTGTGGAGTTTAAATCAGCATATAGAATGTTGGATACTTCCTGAATGTTTTCCATAGAAGCAGCTGGTTCTCTATGGCTATGAATCTCTTATGTGCGTGGGTTGGTTGTTGGTTTTTTTTTTTTTTAAAACACTAAAAATTTTAAAAGGAGGTTGAGGACATGCAACCTACGATAATCAGGATCCTGCACTGCATTGGGTTATGCTGGATTCATCACTTCTCATGGCGACAGTGACATGAACACCCTCCCACTGTCCTGGAGAACGTGCCCTTTCTTCTCAGACGAGGACTTAGCCCCTGTGATTCAGGGTAAGTTGTTTCAGCTCACTCCACTTGGGGATGAATGTGAAAGCCACACAGCGGCTGTACCTTGTAGAGCATGCAACAATGCATCTCCGAAGAACAAAACCTGATGGTAGCATATCCCACAGGTTTGCCTTGTACTCCACTGGCTTCCCCTCCTTTCTGGATTGAGTTAAAATTCCTTATAATTTACAAAAAACTCCTCCTGGGCTTTGATCTGGCTACCTGAATGACTGTCTGTTTATACCCCAGCCATGCTGATGGCTCAGGGATGCTGCATGCCAGAGGAGCAATGTGGATGTGGTGCAATTCCGGTGCCCTGGCGGCAGTGTGTTCTCGACAGCAGGATCCCAGCTGTGGACCTCCTTACTAGAGGAAAACAGGCTGAGCCAGACCCAATCATATTCCTAGCAAACTGCAAAAACGTGGGGCTTGCTAACACATTTCCCCAGTAACGACACATTGTACCCATGGGAGTTCGATGGCTGGGATGATGCGAAATAAGAGCAAGAAAATGAGAGAACAAAAGAGGAAGAGAGATAAGGAGTGGAGAGAGAATAGGAAGCAGGGAAATCTAGCACTGTGGGGAGGCAGAGAGAGACCACCTCCCTTGGATACAGGTAGTGCTAAATAAATTTGCTTGACACTTAGATACCAGGGTGATAAATACAATGGACAGGCAGACAAAATGAGAGGTCCAGAAGAAACCTGACCTAGAATGAGCCAGTTAAAAAGCAGATAGCTGCATATGCAATCTAATTGGCTGCAACAGGAGTTCAGAGGAAGCTCCTACTGACTGATAGGGAGCTAATCAGGATGAATGAATATGCATGAATGTTGTGATTGGTAACCAATGTTTAGGGCCCTACCAAATTCACAGCTGTGAAAAATGCATCACGGACTGTGAAATCTGGTCTTTTGTGTACTTTTACTCTATACTATAGAGATTTCACAGGGGAGACCAGCGTTTCTCAAATTAGGGTCCCGCCCCAAAAGAGGGTGTGGGTAGGGTGTCGCAAAGTTATTGTAGAGGGGTCACAGTATTGCCACCCTTACTTCTACGCTGTCTTCAGAGTTGGGAGGCTGGAGAGCGGCAGCTGCTGGCCAGGTGCCCAGCTCTGAAGGCATCGCCCCGCCAGCAGCAGCACAGAAGTAAAGGTGGCAATACCACGATTCCATGCCACCCTTACTTCTGTGCAACTGCCTTCAGAGTTGGGTCAGTTACAACACCGATTTCAGATTTAAATATCTAAAATAATGAAATTTATGATTTTTAAAATCCTACAACTGTGAAATTGACAAAAATGGACTGTGAATTTGGTAGGGCCCTACCAATGTTCCACATTTCAGTGGAGATAAACAGTAAAAACTTTAAAACTAATTACTCCAATGTTGCCAGCCAATCAACAGCCAGGATTTTATGTGTGTAATACATTTGGATGTGAATTAACAATACAAACTTTTTCTACCCCCTAAAACTAAGGAGAAAGGTTGGAAGTGTCCATAATGGGGCAGTAAATGTCTCACAGTCAAAGAACAAAGGCAGATGCAGACAAGACATTTGAGCAGGAGCTGGATCTAGAAGATTACTCTTAGTCTAGATAACAAAAACAAGCTGCATTCCATGATTCTTTAGCTATCGCAAGTACTTTGTACCTGGTAATGGAGAAAAATGGGCATTTTATCAGTACAGCCACATGCCAATGGTAACCCAAAAGGGTTTTAAATCAGAACCCATTTGAATAGGACGACAACATTTTTCCTCTATGTTTGTCAAATCCAGATTGAGTGCATTTGGTACAATAAGTAATGGGACATATTTATGAATCAATAATTGTTAATTAGTCTGATTTCTTAACAAACTCTGTATATTTCGGTGGAGGCTGAGTGCAGAGAGGGGAAGACGTCTCATTTCTTCTCAGAGGTGCTCTTACCTGTAATACTTTGCCTTGTGGGCTCTCTGCAAACAGTAACACCTGGTTGTACAGGGGGTCTAATGATTTTCGAGCCACTTTTGTCTTCTTTTTTGCAATGCACACTCCATTTTCTAGTAGATATGCCTTGATGTAAGCCGCTGAAAGAAAAATGTAGGGTCAAAGCTAGAATCATAATGGTTCATGTTAGAAATGGCAGGATAAAACTTCTCAAATATTATTATGAAAGAGGTGTTTTCAGCTAAGGACTTTTTATCCAACTGTATTTTCAAGCAAGCACATACAATATGTGCTCCCAGCTGGGCCAGGAGGCTGAGTCAATATTCTACCTGTCCTCAAGTGCTCCAGGAGGAAGGGATGTAGTGGGCTCTGAGTCACTTCAAACAGGCTGAAACACGCTACCTGGAAGGGTTTTGGAGCCGGGTTTGGGGGTCAGTCCTCGTGCCTGAATGATATCCACTTCTAGCTGTCCATTCCGCTCCTGTAAGCCAATTTCCACGTCTCCTACATAACAAACCGGAAATGATTGAAGAGAATCAGAGAGCAAGAAGGCTTTTACATAACAAGTCTGATTGTTAACAAACTGTTTCAAAAAATCCTCATGTCATGCACTGGTGACAACTGCAAAAAGATGTTGGTCCAAAGTGCCTGTTTCCCTCCTGCATTACTCCAGCACCCTGTTAGAGGGGGGTAACTCCGAGGCAATTCAAGCCCACATTTCCAAAAGTGATCTGTTATTGTCTCCTAACCCCAGCTGTGGAGACTCAGGCTTGTGCCATCTAGTCTCCAATCTCCCCAGAATTAGAGGCCCCTTTGGAAAATGCAGTTGTGATGCACCACAAGACAATCCTTAGAGCGTTTGTATGCTTCAGCGCATCGGAGAAATGTGAAGCTGCCCAAGAGGCATTTAGAGAATGCCCATTTTGGCTTGACCTTGCCTTTCATATTTGAAGTATGTCAGAGGGACAGGTAATGCTGCAGATTACATAGCATTAACTAGAACAGGATGACACAAATCAAGAAAATCTAACAGCCAAGCACGTTATATCGAACTGAGAACAGGGTTTGGGGCATAGGAAGAGAGGTGCTGGGCAGGTTAGTGGGTGGCTCGTGGGAGTGGTACATACAGTACTCATTTAAAACTGATCTCTGCCTTTCTGTTCCTTACCCATGGAGGTGGTGGCCAAGGTCTGACGACCAACAAATTGTGCAGGACCCATGCTCCCCAGGAAGTCACTAAACTGCCCAGCAGATGCCAGATGGACTCCACTGAAATTCAAGCTGCAAAATAAATTGATTTTGGCAAATCATTATTTCAGTACTTGAAAGCAACCTGCTGATTTAATTTATGCCCGAAATGAACAGCTATCTTACGCAGACTTCTTCCTTTCAGAACTCATTGACTTCCATGCAGTCTAGTTACACATGATGCATTTAAAGTCCCCTTCTCCCCATCTAATAGTGCTGGAGTAGTTAGCTGTGATTACAATATTTCTTTATCTAGAAATTAATCACCTAGGATAAAAAGAAAAATCAACTCTCCTGTCCCTGGTTCAGGTGCTTCCCATCACCCCTTCCCTGCAGGATTAAAGCTGAACAATGTCTGGGGTGGTCTGTAATTAAGTGCCTGGTAGTTGGTTCCTCCTTCCCCCTTTTTAAAAAACAAAACAAGGACAATAGTGCTTTGGGGTGGGAGGGGTTTCAAAGTGATTGAGCTCAGGTGAGGGATGCCAAACTGAGAACCCCTCCCCCCCCCCAATCCCGGAATATGCATCTTTCCTGACCCACAGGGACCCCATGTAAGGGTGGTACATTTTGCATTCTGAATCAAATGCTTTTGCAGCCTGGCAGCATCCAGCATGTTCCCCGGGTAGTTTTCATTCAGCAAAAAGTCTGAAATTATCATGAAGACTAATCCTGCTGCATCCCATGATGAATATGCAGGACTTACAGACTGTACCTTCAAACCATGGTGGAGGGATACAGTACTGCAGCAAAAAAATATGGAGCTGTTAGGGATGCAGGCTTGTGATATGAACCCATTTGCAAGGCATCTATGGCCTTGTCTGCTTTGGGGTTTTAGCCACTGGTATAGCTACATGGGTGCAAACCTACAGTGTAGATGTGGGGCACACAAGTGTAAGCTGCGCCAGTGCAAGTCACAGTTTACACTGGTGCGCTGGATTTACATTAGGAGCTTGTGCCAGTGCAGCTACACAACTGCCTAAAAAGCCCTTGTGGACAAGGCTTGAATTGTCCCCCACGGATTCCTACTCTGTTTATACATATGATAGGCCCTGCTTTTGACCCATCTTCCCCATGGAAGCTGCTACACATGAATCCTAAGTGTAATTATGAGTCCTCTGTAGTCACGTCCCCACAGGGGGAGACACGCCTGCTTAGTGACACACTTCACAGCTTCTTAAAATTGGGTCCTTAAAACAAATCTGAAATAAGGGTCAAATGTTCACTAACGCTCAGTCTCCAATCAGTACAAATCAAATTTTGCAAAACGGTAGCTAACTGACACTAACACAGGGGTTGGCGAGGGGCTCTGCTTGGCCGTGGGGCGGGGGGAGAGACATTAGACCCAAGTATATACTATTTAGTCAGCTGCAACTACTCTTATTAGCTATCCAACAGCCCAGCATCAGCCCACTGCGCATAATTACTTCCCCGTATGAGTAGCAAACCTGCCCAAAGAAATCAGAGAGCTGGCAGGATAGCCCAGCCTGACCCCCACACAAGTAGCTGAAAGAGCATCGCACACTTACACATTAAGGGCCAGATTTTAAAAAACAGCTCAGCAAGCTGGGTGCTGGGTTCTGTGGAAAATCTGGCTAGAAGCGTCATAGTGGGAGCTGCTGGGTGCTGAAAATCCAGCCCTGAGCACTTTCAAAATTCAGCCCAGTGCAAAACGCCCACAGATCTGCATTAAGTGGAGCGCAAGCTTGGGGGAAACCCTCTGCACAGGGGTCAATTTCCCCCCAAGTCTCCTTGAATTAAGAGTTTTCACCCTGTGTCTCCTGGTTGTGCAATAGTTCCAGGTGGTATTTCCAGACAAGCCTCACATGGCATGATCTATTATCAGCACTAATTGCAGACAATGCTGATGCTTTTGCTTTATTTTGGATTCAGCTGTTGAAGTCTGCATCACTGATTCTTCAGCTGAGAGAGGCACCTCCCCACTGAAGCATGCTATCCTCTGGGGGAAGGTGTAACTACAGGCTGCAGTCTGCTTCCAATCAATGCTATAGTCCCACTTCTCTTCCTGGCTTTCTTCTCCCCGCTCTGCTGGAGAATGGAGTCTGTCTGCTCTGCGCTGAGGCAGCACTTTCCCAAGTTAGTGCTGCTGGGAGCAGAGGAACAGGACAGATATACTGAATGTGAGATGGAGCCCTGGAGAAGGGACCTTTGAGTCCAGTCCTACACAGAGACAGTGCTTACTACTGGGAGTAGTGAGTGGCTGGCGGGGGTGGGAGGGCCAAAACTGAGCAAGTAGCATTGTGACCCAGTGCACGTGGGTCACAGCACCACTCAGGTCATGATGGAGGTGCCGTGAGGCTAAAGCTATGGGGCTCTGTGACCCCCATGCACCAGGTCACAATGCCACCAGTCACGTTTGGCCCTGTCATCCTGTCATGACAGAGGGCTGCAGGGCCAAACCTCAAAGAACAGTAGGGTGGCCAGTGCTGTTTCTCCTTGCCACTACCAGAGAACCAGCTCCTGTGCCAGCTCTCCCCACCAAGGGCCTGTCTGGCCTAACCCCACTTCCAGCAGCCAGTATCCCCTCTGCTCTGCCCCCAGAGCTTGCATAGTGACAGCTTCAAGCCCTGCTACAAGTGCAGGGAGCTGCAGGGAGTGCCCGCACGGGGGAGCTGGCCAGGAAAAGGGCAGCAGGGTGCCACAGGGAGGCAGACATGAGAGGGTTTTGTCTAGGGCTGAGGCTCCGTGGGTGATTCCATTTTGTTTCCTTGCACTGAGCTAGAGTTTTGTTGAAGAAACTTAGCGCCAGAATCCCTTGAGGCACAATACGTCGGGCGCCCCATGCGAAAAAATTGCTGAGGGTGCCCCTGTGAGCAGCCCTGTGATTGTAAAACCTGCAGTGCAGAGATCTCCCCTCTCCGGATGAGACACGTGGGTTGGGGGGCGGGATCAGTGTCCCAGCCTCTCTTGCTTTAGCTACGTTCCCACCACGGGTGTTCCTCCAGGATCACCCAGCAACTGTGTCCTGCATGCTGCCATCTCTCCCACAGCTGGAATCCACACAGTCACTGCCTGTTCCCGCTGTGGTCTTCCCTGGCCACTGTCCCCTCCCACTCCATGCAATCTGGGACTGCTTCAGGTCCACGCAGCCCTAGCCTATGCCTATGTGGATGGTGCTGCACCTGGGTATCAGCCACCCCCTCTTGCCTTGTCAAAAGGCAACTGCCGCTGGAGGTGGGGAATGGGGAACGGAGTAACTACATGGGTGCACATGAGACCCCAGCATGCTCGAGCTGCCGGTGGTATATCCCACGGAAGCCAGCGTGGCTACCCACAGTAGTGAGGCACCATGCTTGGGGTACGTCTTCACTACCTGCCGGATTGGCGGGTAGTAATCGATCTATCGGGGATCAATTTATCGCATCTCCTCTAGACGTGATAAATCGATCCCCGAACGCGCTCCCCATCGACTCCGGAACTCCACCAGAGCGAGAGGCGGAAGCGGAGTCGACAGAGGAGCTGTGGCCATCGATCCTGCGCCGTGAGGACGCGAGGTAAATCGATCTAAGATATGTCGACTTCAGCTACGCTATTCTCGTAGCTGAAGTTGAGCACCGTAGATCGATTCCCCCCGCCCCCCCCCCAGTGTAGACCAGCCCTTGGTGTTCACACTCAAGCTAGTTGGTGAGAACTTCGTAAGAGCACTTCTGTCCCCATGGCTTTGGCAATAATCCTGGGACAAAACAATAGTTCTTGCCTAGAAAAGTACTATGCAGCCTCAAGCAAAGCCACAGCTTCTGCCTGGGGACAGGACAGGAGAGGAGAGGAAAATAAAGCTGTCTAGAAAGTTAGCAAGTCTGAGAAGAAAGATCTGCAGCAAGGACTGAGCTAGATCCGCTAAAATAAGGACCTTCTAAGTCAGCTTGATGTGTTGTATGTGCTCCAGTGCTTATACAGCAGCTTGGGACGCTGCACTGGCATCTGGAAGGAAAGCACTGGGCTCTTCTGGCAGAAAGGTAGGTGGAGTAAGTGAGAACAAATGGTTTCCTTTGCCATAGTTCAGATCAAATGACAGCTCTTGGGAAGACATGCAACAGATGCCAAACTTAGCAAGGGATGCACAGTCCCGCTGCTCTCAGGGGAGAAGCATCACTTGGAGCTGTCAAACTCAGGCTTGTGAAGCACCCATGGACACAGTTTAGCAGAAGACCTACCCCTGGCAGGGGGTTGGCCGCCGCCTGGGTGATCTATTCTAGGTTCCAAACTCAGGGACTGTGGCAGACTTTGAGATGTATCCGTTTCCTGGGTCAGTACAAGTTTCTCTTTGGAACTTGCAGTGTGGCTCTGAAACCTGCAGGACTGAACCAAAGCACTTCTGAAAGCTCCCTCATTTCCTCCTTCTGAAACGGACAGCAGCCCCAGAACAGCTCAAGTGTGACTATTCACTCATGGCTCTGGTCTTTCAAACTCTGGCTGGCTGTTCCTGAGAGTTCTCCCCCTGCTGTTTGCTGCTTCACAGTACCCAGGGCACTCAGCAGCTGACTTTCCTGCCAGTCCTTTGAAGAAATTCATCTGTTTCTCTCCAACTGCCCTTGATTCAGCAATAATCTTTCCAATTGAATTCTCAGGTTGGGAGCATTGGCAGAGACACACCGTTTACAAGTAGGCCAGCCTCACACACAAAAGAGGCAGCTCCAGCGTGGGTTCCAGCCAGCAGATGGTTTTCAAACACACTGGAGTGAATCTGAAAGGGCTTTATTATCCCATCACTGAGTATGCCTCAGCTCTGGCCTCATTTCCTTTCCTCTCAAATCAAGCACAGCGGATATGGAGAAGAGTCACTTTCCTTCCGAAACCCTCTACCCTACGGTTACAATCTCTCCTTCCCTCAGTCTGTGACATATAAGCAGAACGGGGTTTGTTGAATTAATCCTAACTTTTTCTTTTTTTGACGTGTCAACTTCAGCATAGTTTCCATACAGTTTAGAAAATGAACTCATGGGGTTCTTTTGTTTCCATTCAATATTCAAATTCAGATGCTATTTGACAAAAGCCCCTCCACCGTAGATAGAGGA